TAGATACTTTCAGCTTGCATTTCCCAACCATCATACATTCCAGAAAAGTATTTAACAACCAAACGTAGTTGGGGATTGTTGACACAAGTAATAGTGGCACAAGTAATAAATATCGAATCCATGGGTCTCTAGAGTTACTATTACTCAGCTTCAGTTCATTATCTAGCAAACTAGATTAATGATTGATTTATAAACTACTCTACTGACTACTCTACTAATTACAAGTTGTGAACTCACTTAGGTATGATTCCCCCTAGCTCCTCAATTAGGTCCAAGTTGCAATTACCTTTGGTTGATCTACTGTTGATTAAACTGCGGAAGATCATAAATTAGCTTGGAATCTCTTAAGCTGACCAAGCCCTCTTAGACAGAATACCCGGCAGGCGACTAGCCTTCACCGGGATAGACTGCTAAGGCGATTCACACAGATCTCCACTACTGGAATGAATTCCAGTACAAAGTAGTGAATTGATTGACTCTCGCACAACCAATTCACCACTATCAATCAAGGAAGCTCTCTTAACCTAATCAGATTCTATCTATCATAGGTTAAAGCAGAAATCAAGAGAATTTGATCAAGATTCAAATAACTCAATAAATCATGCCTCAATCGATTATAATCAAACAATATAGCATCCAAAACTTCATACAAGAGAGATCCTAACACATGGAACTAGGGTTCCTCAAAACCTAAGTGAAGGGAAGTTACTCCATAGAGAAGAGAGAGATTGCAGAAATCTGATCTAGATCTTCAATATCCATCTCCAAGCTTGATTCCCGAGCTCCAATGGCGAAGAAATCCTCCAAAATAGCTTCAATAATGTTCCCAAGTCGCTCTCTCTCTCTAGGGTTCGTCCCTTAGGTGTTTGGGAACCAAAAACCCAGCTCTCCCCTTTCCTTTGGCTGAAAATCGAGTTTTAAACAGAAATTCCCGATCACGCGGCCAGGCCACACGGCCGTGTGGCTTTCCCAGCTGCCCGTGTGAAGGCTCGGTGATTTCCACACGGCCACGACCCACACGGCCGTGTGGAGTTCCAGGATGCCCGTGTGGCTTGCTCAGGCTCTGTTTAATGCTTCGTTTCTCCCTCGTCCGGACTCCGAATTAGTCCCCGTTTGATCCCACACGCTCGTAGTCTTGTCCTCTTTTCTTTAATGACAAGATACATGATTCTTTGTCCATAAAGTGAGGTAGAAATCCATTCTTCTTCAGTTCATGCCCGAGTTTCTTCTCCCGAATCGTCAATTGATCTCTGATTGATTTGAAACTTGCGCCTATGCTTCACTTTATGTGCTAGGACCTGAAATGTGACAAAGGAACACAACCTAGCGTAAAATAGTCCAAGAAAGCAGAAACTCAAGCCAAAATGATCAAGAAACGAGGGTGCAAACATGTGCAAATCCGATGTTATCAATTGTCTCGTTATCCAACTGGGCAAAACCATATATAATGTTATGGTGGTGGTGATTTACACCAACCATCATAACAAATGGTCGATTACAATAAGAGTGAAGAGATTTCAAATTCACTCCAACAAATTGCATAAATCGAAGTACGAATAAAGTCTTAAGACTTCTATCTATTTATAGAGAATATAGACAAATTCCTTATCCTTACTAGTATGGTGAACACTTATCCCAGTTGGTGAAGGATACATAAAATCATAATTCGACAAGGACAAGTACGCAAAATCCTAATTGGACAAGGAGAAGTAAGTAATAAGCTAACTCCATCCTTATTCCACATTGTTTAGGAGCTAAGTAAAGGTATCATAGGTCGACCTTAAGCATAGGAGGTCGACCTGTGCTCTGCCTACGGGGTTGACCGCTTTGATTATGTGATCGACCACTTGTTCTGGACGATTTAAATCGTGAATTCGTTTATATCCATAATTGTATAACAAATCTAATAAACGAAAAACATTCAATATCCAAAAGGAAACAACCTCGCAAATATAAATTCAATGTATTGTCTAAATAATGCAACATTGTAACTTAATGACTTCATTTATTAGCTTTTTTGTTTGAACTTTTCTCTCTTTTCCTCGTTCCATGCATTCATCTACTACATGCTTTAAAAGATATTCTCGTGGACGGTTTTCAAAATGTGTACCAAGATATCATAAAATCTCCTTTCGAGACGGTAATTTGTGTTCTTCTCCTATCTGCATTATGGCATATAAGACTTCGTTAGAACTAAAAACAATACAAATTAAACAAGTTATTTGTTTGACGATATTCTAACCACTCTAATAAGATCCTTGGATCCATAGCGAATCCACTACATGACGTGCACACCACACTCGGTACTATTCCTTTGCCCTTGAACGCGTAGCTCTTCCAAATTGAAATCTCCAAAATTTGGTACTGCTACATTGCTCATGCGCTCTAGTTTAAAAATATCATGCAATTTAGACAACTACACACAAATAACGAATATTATATGCTTCTAACATAATACGTGACACTAAGTAGTAAGAAAATTATAGGAAACATTTACCAATTTCTTTCAGGGGTTTGATTTATGCTTATGTTCACCTCACTGGTTGAAGGTAGATTGTCAAGCAAAAATGCAGTTTTTTGTTGGACATCGTCCAGAACTGGCATAAATATCTAGCAACGAAACACTCACTATATGTTATAAAAAGCGAACACAAACAATTGCACTTTGGAAGTTTAATGAGATAGGGACATTAACTAACCTTCTGGCATGCACTAACATTCGACATAAACACCACGCCAGCATCCATCAACTTGTTACGAATTTGTTCAGTCTTTATGTTAGCGCGTACCATTTTCTGCACCATATTTTAATTGAGATTAATTAACATGGTACAATATTAATAACTAGATTATGACAAATAAATAAACATTACGGCTCTTACCGAAAGCATATTTGGAAAATACCACACATTTGGCTCTTTGACCTCGTGTTTTCAAGACATTGTTAGTGCCCTTGCACACAAATCCACTACCCACCAACCAACAATCAACCAAAAAATCCTCGTAAATCGTAACATAAATAGTGCACAATTCATACGAAAGTCATAGCAGTATAGTACTTACGGATGAGCAAATCAGCTACTCTCGCTAATGACCGAACTCAAATATTTACGTTGCACGTTTTCATTAAAAAAGTCAACAACGGTCAAACTGCAAAAATCAAAATAAAAGAAATATCAATTGTGATTTGCAAAGTACAGGTCGACCTATTCACAGTGAAGGTCGACCTTATTGGCTAAACGGTCGACCTGATGTACTAAACGGTCGATTACATGTACTACTTAAAAAAATGTCTCTTACTTATCCCAATTCGTGTCTCCAGCCTCTCTTTAGTAACAAATCATAGTTAAAATTCAAGTTACATATGAACACAAACATACATTATAGATGAATGTGTAACGTAAACTTACTTTGTGCTTTTCGAAAGGACTCTTAGATTCATCTTCGTCATCGCTATCAGCACTAAATAATCCTTTTTTTTACAAAATGATCCTTCTGTGGAGTGGTGTAGGAGTCACTTTCATATCGAGGTCTCTTGTACTTAGGAGAGGAACCCTTGATGCCAAATGTTGTTTCACTCTGTCAAACATATAAACAAAACAAATTAGCACTAATGATAGTAATACTAATATATTCACTCACATATGAATATTCTTGTCTACCTTTAACTTGTGCTCTTTCAATAAATGGTCTATGCTCTGGTAGCAATTTGCAGAGTCATTATGGTCTTCCTACTCTTAATCAAAGTCAAATTTATTTCTTGTACCATCTCTTCGTCCATTCTCCATTCGTTCCGCACTTATTTCTTTGATAACACCTTCTAGCCTCTCAAAACCATCATGCATCATCCCAGTCATATCTGTCAATCGAACTGAAAATTGCTCCACTGTATCACGAATGGACTTCTGATAGTCATTGACTTATTTTTGTCACACCACCAGCTGCTCTTGTGTGGCTTTCAACACTTTCATGATTTCACCCAAATCACAGTCTCTCATCATGCACCATCGTCTAAACAATTAAAAAAAAAGTAAATAATAATTCAACTTCAATTTTCTACAATTGATCAGAAACAAAGACGTGGTCTACCTGACATATTATTAGGTCGAACTTAAAGAATATTTGTCACTACTAGAATCTTTAAGGTCGACCTTTTTCTTTTCCTAGGTTGACTTATCCAGCAGGAAAATACCAATTTACCAACAAAAGCAAGTGTAATATTACCACGAAAAAAAATAGGTTGACCAGACAGCTTGAGCGACCGATCTTTTAAGCACAACATAGTCTTACAAACAAAGCCAAAGTCGACATTCAGGATGAACAACCGAGTGTTGTGCCCAAAAATTCGAGTGTTGTGCCCAAAATTCAATTTTGAACAATTGTCAAACAGAGGTCGACCTGATAGAGATTAGGGCCGACCGAATGGTATTATGCACGCAACAATACATCAAATTAGACAGTGGAAATCACGCATTAGACAAGGTGACGGAGAATCCTACATTAGGTCGACCTCACCATCGACGTGGTCGACCACTTTCAACACGTACAACAGCAACCGCGAACGATCTTCTTCACAAAGGCTCTAACCGTAAAAAAACTAATTCAGAGTTTTGGTGGCGATGAAGGTGAAATATATTCGTATTTATAGATATTTAGGACGTGAATGGGTCGAATTAAGTGGTAGATAAGTTAGGATTGAACTCGAATCAAGAAGGAAGCGTTCTTAATACGAACTTGGATAAAACGGAACCAAAAGGACAATTGCACACCTAGGAAACACTCGATTCGATTAAAGGGTAGTTTCTCGACCATGATTGAAGGCACTATTCAATCTATACAAAGCTCACAAGCTAGGAATCCACCAAACTCACACAAGTTCACAAACTTGCACAAAACCAAAGGTTTCTTTTCGATTAATCAAAGTCTCCGTTTTTACAACGAAAATAGAAGGCTATTTATAGACAAGAAAACCTAATGGAAACCTAGATGAACAAGGACACAAATAAGGTAAAACTTTACTCTAAAAAGGTTACAAAATTCGGACTCAAACTCCTTTCTTTACGCACAAGAAAGCTGCCAAAAAATAGCTTTCGTACTAACTTCATGCTATTCGTTCGAGGCCTTCCAGATCTCCAATCCTTCATCCAATTCCTTCCCTTTGTTATACAACATACCTAGTTTCGTATTGTGGAAGCCTTTGGACTAGAATCAGATCCATGCTCCTCGAATTAAGCTCCAAAGTAGGCTTCATTAACAAGGTTTCTGCCATAGCCAAATTCTGGTAGTTTTCAGTTTTCCAGATAGCAAATTTGGACATCTGGAAAATGACCTTCTGAACTTCCTCTCGAGCCACCAAGAATACCATCATGTAGATAAAATTCTTATCTTCAAAACAAGCTATCACGCGAATTTTCATCTAGCCAAGTGAGAGAACCGTGCCTCGAAATTTGGCTACCTGAACACGGAAAATGACTTGATAGTGTTCTAAAAAATTTCATCCTCTTCTCAAAAATTCGTCACAGAACTAAGATAGTGTTCTTAAACAACGAAATTGGGGCTTTTTGATTCAGGGACTTCCAGACCAATTCGTCGACGCCAAGCCTGGAGAAAGCTTCCAATTGAATTTTTGCATCCTTCCCCAGCCTCGAATCGTCGCCATCGCCTTCGAATAAACCATACTTCCCTTCCCGCCGTCGCCGGAATTCAAACCCAGATTTTCGAAGTCAAATTTGGTGTTTTTCAATCCAACCATATTCGAGTTGAATTGATACATCCTACACGTTCCTTGGATTCCCATGAATGAGTCTGCAGCACAGAATTGGCTCGATTCGAGTTGATTTTCTCTACCTATAAGAGGGTTCTTGTCGTCCTCTTCCTTCACAAATAGAGGCATTCTAACGCGATCGGATTCTTCGAATTCAGGCACATTCGCCTCTGCTGGCGCATCTTCAAACAGTTCTGGGGTTGTGGAGATTGTGTGGGCACCATCGACGAGTTTCGACTCTTCACCGGTTGTTCTTGCCAATTCATTCACTCTCCTGCTCTGTTTTGCAAGAAAGATCACTGTTGCTCTCGTGACTGTGACGAGTCCTCCGTCGGCAGCCTGCTCCGGGGCATCTCCATGATTCTCCATCCTTTCTTCAACCTCCAGCGATGTGTCTCTGGTCGCGTCCGGCTCCGTCTTCCCTGTCGGGTCCCTTGCAATGATTCGTGGAGCTCTCTTTGTTAATAAGTCGTCACAAACCGATCGCGCATCAACCCGCGTACTCCTACTAGTCAGTTACCTCTAGTTGCAGGTTTTGTCATCGCCGGAGAAGAATTTTTTCCCACCCTTGAGCAGCGTAATTAGTGAACTCGAAAGTGGCCAGGGATACCTACTGCTGCTCAGTGTATTGTCAACACTGGAAGAAGAGAGTGATCTTCCGTTTCCAATCCAAGTAGGCTGAGGTGTTAATCATGCCCTGAAACGCCGGTACGGCCAATTTGATTCCTGGTGGAATCGTCGGCGGCTCTGCTTCCAAATTATCTCGCCGTTCTCGATAGGGTCGGTCTCGATGGGGTTCTACTACTACAATTCCTCCCTCCAAATCCGCTATCTTGTCCAGCAGCTCCAGATTACCTCCAAAGTAGCGTCAAACATCTGATCAATTTCTTGCTTCAATTGACCCAACCGATCCTGGATTTGAGTCTGGAATCTCTCCTCCATTCGATCTAGCAATTCATCCATGTTAAACGCTTGTCCCGCCACAGATTGTTCTTCAATTTGATCTTTGTGCTTCTGACTTAGAATTGCAGGGTGGCTAAAAACAGGACCTTTCGATCTTGTCTCGCCAAGGCTCCGATGCCACTTAATACGAATGGCACGCTAAAACACAACACCAAACTGTGACCAAGTGTAATCGCCGTCTGGAAATGCAGTAAAGTGGCAAGCTCTTGGTCTTATGGCAGTAAGTCTCCCGACTGGCTACGGGTCATGCACTACCTGCACACAAAATGCAAACACAACCCGTGAAGGCACAAAGGTGGAAGAGAGAGGATGCAGTAAAGAAAAAGTTAGAGTAAAAACTTTCACGTTTCCGCAATAACCTAGAAGGTCCCCGGTAACGCCGACAAAAAACTTGGCACGCTAAAACACAACACCAAACAATGACCAAGTGTAATCGCACTCTGGAAATGCAGTAAAGTGGCAAGCTCTATTTGTCAACCCAGGGTCCAGATCTACTGCCTACTCCGTGATTATCTATTATCTAGCAAACTAAGTCGAGTGATTGTGATTTTAAGCAAAAGCAGTAAGAAAGTAGGAAATGGTTCAAAGTTCTTTAGCAAGGGAAGAGTCACTCGGGAATGAGTCCCCCCTAGCTCCTTAGTTAGGTCAAAGTTGTAATTACCCTTGGTTGATTTACTGTTGATTAAACTGCTGAAGATCTGACAGTAGCTTGGAATCTCTTAAGCTGACCAAGCCCTCTCAGTCAGACTAACCGGCAGGCATCTAACCTTCACCGGGATAGACTGCTGAGGCAATAAACACAGAACTCCACTACTGGAATTGGATTCCAGTGCAAAGCAGTAAATTGATTAACTCTCGTATAACCAATCTACTACTACCGATTGATGAAGCTCTAACAACCTAATCCAATTCTATCTATCTCAGGTTGCGGTAGAAATCAAGAAAAGATTACCAGGCTTCAATTGACTCAATGAATCATGCATCAATCCATTAAAATCAATCATTATATCAAACCAAAGTCATTGCAATCAAGGTTCCTAACACATGGAACTAGGGTTCTTCATACCCAAGTGAGAGAAGGTTCTACTCCATAGAGAGAGAGAGAGAGAGAGAGAGAGAGAGAGAGAGAGGAAAACAGGAATCAGAGCAGTCATACTCATAAAGATGGGGATAATCTTCTCTGGGATGTCGATCTTCACTCCTAGGGATGCAATCTGGGCTTCAATGGTGAGAAATCCACTCCAAATAGCTCCTAGGGTTTGTTCTTCGCACTTTCTCTCTCTAAAGCTCTGTTTTTTGCTCAAAAACTCGATTCCTCTTCAAAAGACCCAAAAATGGGTTAAAACCCAGAATTTCCCGACTACACGGCCAGGCCACATGGCCTTGTAGAGTTTCCAGCTGCCCGTGTGAAAGTACAAAACGCGGTGTTCCACTTAAGAGGCTTCATGCATGCTGCACGGCCGTGTGATTTTTCGGCCTGCCCGTGTGGTGGCCTCGGTGATTTCCACACGGCCACAAAGGTCCACTACACTGCCAATGCAAATTTGCTCGCTACAAAGGATACCACACGGCGTGTGGTTTTTAGGTATGGTCGTGTGGTTTCCCAGCTTCTCGCCAAACGTACAATCTTCGTCCAATCGACCCCGAACTCGTTTCCAAACCTCCATTCACGTACTAGGACCTGAAATATCACAAACAAGAACAACCTAGCGTGAAATTGACCTAAGACACAAGAAATGAGGCTCAAACGGTATAAGAATGGTGGACAAAAATATGTGTATATATCAAGTCATCAACGACCCTGGGAGGGGTTGTATTTTATCAAATTAACGTAGCTAACGCTTCAATCGAAGGATCGATTGAACTCGAATCAAGAACGAAGCGTTCTTAATACAAACTTGGATAAAACGGAACCAAAAGAACGATTCCACTCCTGGGGAACGCTCGATTGGATTAAAGGGTAGTTGCTCGACCACGATTGAAGTGACTATTCAATCGATACAAAGCTTACAAGCTTGGAATCCATCAAACTCACACAAGTTCACAAACTTCCACAAAATTAAAGGTTTCTTTTCAATTAATAAAAGTCTCTGTTTATACAACGAAAATAGAAGGCTATTTATAGCCAAGAAAACCTAATGCAAACCTAGATGAACAAGGAAACAAATAAGGTAAAAATATACTCTAAAAAGGTTACAAAATTTGGACTCAAACTCCATTCTTTACGCACAAGAAAGCTGCCAGAAAACAACTTTCGTACTAACTTTGTGCCATTCGTTCGAGGCCTTCCAGATCTCCAATCGTCCATCCAATTCCTTCCCTTTGTACAAAAACATACCTAGTTTCATTTTGTGAAAGCCTTTGGAGTCGAATATGATCCATGCTCCTCGAATTGAGCTCCAAACCAGGCTTCTGCCTTATACAAATTTCGGCAATTTTTCAGCTTTCCAGATAGCAAGCATACCATCAAGTAGATAAATTTCTTATCTTCAAAACAAGCTATCAAATGCGAATTTTCATCGAGCCAAGTGAGAGAACTGTGCCTCAAAATTCGGATATCTGAACATAGAAAATGTCTTGGACAATTTTTTGTTTCTTTCTCGGAATTCGACTTGGCCTCTTTGACAATCAAGATTGGATGGAATTTGATAGAGTTCAGGATTGTATCAGGCTGATTCATGTAATCGTATGTTGGGGAAAAGATCTCTTTCTAGAAAGGTAGTGGAGCGCCTGCAAGACCCTAAAGTCAAGGTGGCAGTAGGGATGGAACACTCCGTTGATGACCTTGGCAAACTGCAAATCAAAGTCGGCCGTGTGCGTAGGTCGTGACCTACCTGTGAGAGAGAGACATTGATTCTCGTGTTTTTATAGACCATTGATTGCACATGTTTTTACCCCTATTCTTGAGCCGTTTGAGATGTTGATTCTCGTGTTTTAAGCCGATTTCATGCTAGGTTGTTCTTCTTTGTGATATTTCAGATCCTTGTACGTGAATGAAGGTTTGGGAACGAGTTTGGCGTTGATTGGACGAAGATTGGACATTTGGCGAGAAGCTGAGGAAGCCACACGGGCACGGCTAAATTTCCACACGGCCGTGTGACGTTGCCGTGTGGCATCACTTTGCATGGGAAAATCGCACTTGCCGTGTAGGGGACCCCTTGTGGTCGTGTGGAAAGTCAAGGGAGCTCATACGGCCAAACTGGAAATCCACACGGCCGTGCCTCTGGCCGTGCAGCGTGCCTGAAGTCCACTAATCGAAACGCGGTGTTTTGAAATCCACATGGGCAGGCTGGAAAGCCACACGGCCGTGTGGTCGGGAAATTTTGGGTTTTAATCCAATTTCGAGCCAAAGGAAAGGGATAGCTGGGTTTTTGGATCCCAAACACCCAAGGGACAAACCAAAGAGAGAGAGGACGATTTGAGGGCATTCTTGGAGTGGAATTGCAGGATTTATTCGCCTTGGAAGCTCGAGGAACAAGCCCGGACTTGAAGACTGATCATCTGAAGATTCTTACTGCAGTCTCTCTCTTGTCTATGGAGTAACTTCCCTTCACTTAGGTTTTGAGGAACCCTAGCTATGTTTGTTTGATTGGATGATTGTATGAGTACTCGTACTTGATCATCTTGAGTTCATATTCAATCTATGCACGTTTTCATGATTCAATTCTGCTTTATTCGAGATTATTGATTCTGCTTTGATCCTATGAGAGCGAATACGTGATTAGGTCAATAGAGCACCATTGATTATTATTAGTGGATCGATTTCTTTATTAGAGGGTTGATTCACTGCTTTGTATTGATTGAGAACCTCTTTCGATAGAGGGAGTCTAGTTCAGAACGCCTTGATCGGTTGTTCTAGAGAAGGATACGTCCCTCTAGGCAAATGACTCAAGAGGGCCTTGTTCCTTTAGTTGAGAATCAAGGTCTAGTCAAGGATTCTCCGCATTGTGAATGAAAGTGAAACAGGTTAGAGATAATCAATCATTAATATGGCTAGTGGCTAGGGGGAATCATACCTAAGTGAGTTCCCAACCTGTAATTAGATTAACTTTAACTATAGTTTGTTAAGGTAGTTTTAGTTCTTCCATTTTAATCTGGTTTGCTAGATAATGAACTGAAGCTGAGTAATAGTAACTCTAGAGACCCGTGGATTCGATATGTATTACTTGAGCCACTATACTGCAGTCCCTTTCATTGGTTACACTTGGCCACTGTTAGGAGTTGTGCCATAGCGAGTCATGTTTTTGGCGCCGTTGCGGGGGACTTTCTAGATTATTAGGAAAGGCAGAAGTTTGTTAGTTTAGCGTTTTTCTTTTCTTTTCCACCCTTGCTTTTCACTTGGGTGTTTTTGTTTTTGTTGGTGCAGATATGAATCATGGATCCTCATGGCTTCTCCAACCATGGGGGGTATCCACCACCATCCGAGTGGTATTACCCTGAGAC